TATGTGTGTGTTGATAAGTGTGTGTTTGTATGTGTGTGCTTGTATATGTGTGTACCTACCTGTCCTTTCATCAATTTGTCTGCCTGTCCATTTTGTCTTCCTGAATGTTTTATTCATTCGTTCGTTCCTTTATTTATTTATCAATCGATTGACTTTCAAAAAGCCTAAAATATTGCAAAAAAAATAAAATATAAAAATTCAAATCAACAAATGACCAATATAATATTAATTAATTTGTGAAAATTTTTATATCAAATACAAAATAAATAACGTAAAAGATAAAGAGGGAGAAAGTGAAAGTTAATTTAGTCGATGTTTGTTTCGATATTGATGCTATTGTTTGATGACTGTATTTGGTTGGTTGATTGTTTGGTTGGCCCGGTTGTTTGGTTGGCCCGGTTGTTTGGTTGGACCGGTTGTTTGGTTGGGTGGTTGGTTGTTTGGTTGTTTGATTAGTTGGTTGGTTGCTCGGTTGGTTGGCTGGTTGGCTGGTTGGCCTTTAGTAGAGTAGTAGTGGTCACAATCGTCCTTCTCATTCGGACTGATTTGGTTTACTTTTTGAAAGATTTAGTATCTTTACACTACTTTTTTCCCATACTATTTCCCCTTCTTTGATATTTCATCCCTCTTGTCAACCTTTTAATGTCTATCCTGTTCGCTAATCAATGAAACCATTCCTCCGTTAGATGATTTTGTAATGAATGTATAAATAAATCTCTTTCCTCTTCTGTCTATTCTATTCTATTCTACAGTTCAAACTGAAAAGAATTGAAGTCAGACAGTTTGATTTTATTTTTGGTTGACTTGAGATGATGATGATGATTATGATGATGATGATGATGATCATGGTGTTGGGACGGGATGAGATGAAAGGAGTAGATTCCACGACATTGGTTGACAGATACCAAGGTCATCACTGTCCTCTCCCAACTCCATTCTTTTTTCATTCCGTTTCATCCATTATCGGTTCCTCTTTTCCGTTTTTAATTTGACGTTACTTCTTCCCGTCCTATCTTTAACTAACTCTCATAAGGATTTTATCTTTTTCTCTCTTTCTCTCCATCCTTCCCTATGTGGCATTTGGTAAGATCCACTTGAAAATTAGTTCAATTTATTCCTTCCATAATATAAACAACATCATATAACCTCACCTTCACCTTAACCATTACTATAACATTCTTTAAAATTCCTGAATTATCCCATATTTTCCCAAATCATTTCAATTAATCAATCATTCAATCAGTCAATTGATCATCGAATTATTATAACAATGACGATTCAAAAATTCATAATGATTTCATCAAATTATTTTGCTTTTTGTATTCATCTACGAAAAAGAAAGAATAGAGTGAAGAAGGACAATACCACCAATAAAATTGATATTTAATTACTACCTATGTTTATCATTAAATAATGAAATTTCGCTTCGCTGAAAAAAAATTAAATCATCAAGAAGGTGATGGAACTTCGCCAAAATTAAATCATCAAGAAAGTCAAAAAGAAAAATTAAACGGTTCACACAACAATAACAGTAAAGAAGTTGAAATTGAAAAAATTTAATAATGATGTATATTATTAATTCCAGAGATTCTTGCAAATGAGAAATGAAAAAAAAAAAATTCAAATTGAATTTAAATTAAACGACATCAATTTCATAAAGGTAGCAAAAAACAAAACATATTGAAACTGTTATATTCCTCTTTGTTTTGCTTTGTTTTTTTTTGAAAATTTTTATATGCATAATTACTATAATTATTATTGTTATTGTTATCATTACTGATTGAAAAAATTAGTTAACCCCAAATTATATCAATTATGCATCTAATAAAAAAGAATATCATGATAATAGAAAGAAAGATTAAAATGATGATAAAGGTTATTATGATTAAAATTTGCTTCGAATAATTTAAAAATTGAAATTGTTCTCAGTTAATATTACATATCCTCGGGATATCAATATTTTTTTTTTGTTTAAGAAATTGAAATTTTGATTCTTTTGAAACTTACTCCGAAAGGAGTATGTAAATAAAAGAATTTTTACATAATTATTACGAGAAAGTGAGACAAATTTTCATTTTAAAGAAAAAATTTTGATAAATTTCACTTCCACATATACTCGTATCAAACTCTAAGCCAAAGAATAAATAAATGGCAGATACCTTTTAAACAGCTTCAAATTCAATTATAAACTTAAGTACATAATTAAATAAATTATGAATTTTGCTTAAAAAACCAATAAATGTTTAATACAGTATTCATGGAGCTCAATATATTCATGAATCAATATATTCATGGAGCTAATTCAAAAATAATTCCAATGGAATTTAAGTTCAAAAAATTTTTTCAAGTTTCAATAACAAAAAAAGAAAATTTTGTATTCCAAAATTAAGGTGTATTAAATTTAATACTTGAGTAATTAATATTTTATAGCTTTCTGAATGCAATAATGCAATGGAATAACTTATGCGACTTAATTTAATTCATTTTATACCATACTATTAGCTGATTACTCATAAATAAAAGTTAATAATAATACGTTGTCTATTTTTAGCTCTATGAACGATTAAACACGCCATTTATTAATTTCAGTGAATAATTAAATATGTTAGTTTACTCTTTCTTCATTCTATATATAAGTAAATATTCACGTACTCCACTATTCATAATCGCGTTTCGAGGCAAACTTGCAGCTTTTTCATGAGAATCAGTAATTCAGTTATGAATTCGATTTCATTTCGACTCTATTATTCAACGTAGTAAGCTGCACCTGTTAGCTTTATAAATTTAATCAATATGTTTGATGATTCCAAAAAAAAAAAATATATATATGTATAAATAAAAACATTCATGTAGCAGAACTGTTGTAAATACTAATTTTAATCCTATAAAATTTGCTCAGATTTGAAGTTTTTGCAAATAGGATAAGTAAAAAAGATCTGCTGTATAGAATTTCAAACTTAAAATGAAATTTTAATCCTTTTAGTAGACTTTTAGATACAAAACAAAGAAGAAAACACCAACGTGACATATATTGTAATGTGCAATGTTGCTATTGGACGAATCCATAATATTTAAAAATCAAATAATATCCCATTTTAATCCTCTTATTCTTCTTCTAGCTATTTTACTGTATTTCCTGATCTTTCTCTTATTTCTACTAATATTTATCATACGAGGACGTATCCCACGTATCACGTTAATTGATAATATTGTCATATATCAAATATA